AGAACTGCCCGACAGGGTTTCCAAGGCGCAACAGTGGATTTGAACTGCCGACCTTTTGGTTAGCAGCCAGGCTTTTAATCACCGCACCACCAGGGCTCCACAGAGTGGCAAGGACTTGAGAATTCCAAAAGCAGGACAGAGGAGATTGACTGGCCACTTGGCAGCAGTGATGGCAGTGGGCGGGGGGTCAGGGGTCCGCTGAGCTGGCACCTCTGACTCTTCCTGGCCTGGCACAGCACTCCCTCCGCATCCCATCTGCTGGGTTCACTCATTGCAACTTGTCTCCTATGTTCTAACGTAAGCCCATCCTGGCTCGACTCCCTGCGGGCAGGGGCATAGCAAGGGGCAGGGACGATGTCCTATATTTATGCCCATTCTGCTTACTTCCCGCTGGAATCTGCCCACAGGTGAATAAACACATAGTGAACTAGAGTGTTTCCTTGTCGTCGACATTCAACAAGTCTAAAGAAAGAAATTCATGGTTAAGCTGAAATAGAGAGATGTCTGGCTGGCATCTTTGTGGTACCCCCATGACCTCTCCCTAGGGGTGTCTGTCCCACCTTCTCAGGCTTCCTGCATCTGGCCTCCTTTCTCTGGCCTCTGGGCCTCCTTGATAGATGGTGCAAATGGTTAATGCATTCAGCCACTAACTCAAATGTTGAAAGTTCGAGTCCAACCAGAGGTGCCTCAGAAGAAAGGCCTGGTGATCTACTTCCAAAAACTGTCATTGAAAACCTTGTGAAGCACAGTTCTACTCTGACTGAATGGCGTCCCCATGAGTCAGACTTGACTCCACAGCCACTGGTTTGGTGTTGGTTTTTGATGTCCAGGAGACAGGGACCACCCTGAGGGCAAGCCAGGGCCTTGACTGTTGGAAAGCTGCTCACAAATCCTTTCCAGTTCCACGTGTTCCAGGTCAGCAATATCCTTTTCCTTTCCCACCCTCTTCCTCTTCCGTGCGTGCTTCAGGACAGTATGGAGCACCTGAAAGAATGTTCCCACTTTCCCTTTACAGCTGGGGTCAGAGTGGGCCGACGGGACTGACGGACACACTCCTAGTTCTGGGATGACAAGGTTCCTGGGACATGCAGTCCCAGAAACCCCTGGTAGAATCTGGGACAGCTGGTCTTCTAAAATTATCTTATAATGAATAAATTATTCACTGCTCCTTACTAAGTGAGGTAGTCACCCTCACACACCAACACTATTTAAAACCGCTAAATCTCTTGTTCAGGGACCACTCCGCTCCGCCAAGCCCTCTCTGTTATCACCAGATGCACCTACGAATAAATCCCTTAACAGAACCGCGTGCTAAATTCAAAATAAACACAAAACTCCATAAACTGCCTTATCCAGTCTCCCAGAGGGAATTTAGTTGGTCTGCTACATTCTTATACCTGTTTGCGTTTTCAGTATAGCCCTTCTCAGCTCAGCCTTACTTGTCTTCCTCCTTCGAGTATACGCCGCTAGAGGGTGGGGTCCACGTCCTGTTCATCTTCGCTTCCCCTCCTGGGCCTAAGCCAGGGCCTGGCACACAGGCGGTGACGGCCCTGTCTGACTCCCCTTTGCCCGCTGCTGCAGCCTCGTGGTCTTCGTGTGCCGGCCTGGCCCTGGACAGCACGGTCAACAGGAAGCAGAATCAAGTCCCTGAGAACATAAGCTGAACGAAGGCTGGGGCCTGGATTGTCTTGTTCTGGGCTGTATCCCCAGGGCTGACAAAATGCCTGCCACTTAGTTAATCCTCAGTAAGCATTTGTTGAATGAATGAATGGAGTTAAGGTTGCTTGAACCAATGTCCCACCTATTGTTCAGGTTTACATGGCTGGGTTTATTTTTATCCTCCCTGCGCTCCGGCCACCTGCTGACAGACTTGTGCTACCTGTCTGCCCGTCTTGGCTGTCTAGTACTGCTGTAACAGAAACACCACACGTGGATGGCTTTAACAAAGAGAAATTTATTCTCTCACCGTCTAGGAGGTGGAAGTGCGAATTCAGGGCACCAGCTCCAGGGGAAGGCTTTCTCTCTCTGTCAGCTCTGGGAGAAGGTCCTTGTCATCAATCCTCCCCTGGTTTAGGAGCTTCTCAGCACAGGGACCACAGGTCCAAAGGACACGCTGCGCTGCTGGTTCTTCTTTCTTGGTGGTATGATGTCCCTCTCCTCTCTGCTCGATTCTCTCTTTTATATCTCAAGAGAGATAGACTCAAGATACAACCTAATCCTGTAGACTGAGTCCTGCCTCATTAACATAACTGCCTCTAATCCTGCCTCATTAACATCATAGAGGTAGGATTTACAACACATAGGAAAATCACATCAGATCACAAAATGGTAGATAATCACACAATACTGGGAATCATGGCCTAGCCAAGTTGATGCGCATTTTGGGGGGAAACAATTCAATCCATAACACTGCCTGTCTACCTGATAGCTGGCATTTTTAGCTTTGCCTCCCTTGGACTTCTCATTGCCTTGTTTTGCCACTCTGTGGCCTCATCGTTCACTTTAGTGTTGCGTGTCTACCTGGCTTCTGTCCTGCTGTCAACATACTCTTTGGACACCTGTTTTACTCCCCAGCCCAACCCGTCCATCGATTCCTCTCTGGCCCCTCTGGGAGTGGCCTTGTCAATAGCTCTAGGCCCTCCTAGTCAGAGGTCTCATTCCAAGTATCTTGCCAATTCCATGGGTAAATATAGATGAACTGAATTGTATTGTTTGGTCTCTCTCTTACCTTAGGATGCAATCATCAGGTAATTCACAGGAAATTTAATTATTTTTACAAAACTGAAATCTGGTGCCATATGCCATGATGCTTATCTTATTCCAATGACACCATAAAAGGAAACCTCATACCTATTATATGCCAGGCACTATACGACATGCTCTACTTTGTTAGGGCATTTTCCCCCACCTGGACATTTGTGTCTCTACTGGACAGTGATGTTTAAACTATACATGCATTCCTACCTTATCTAGAATCACTTTTGTTGTTATTGTTAAGTGCTATCGAGTCGGTTCTGACTCACAGTGACCCTATGTACAACAGAATGAAACACTGCCCAGTCCTGCGCCATCCTCACAATCGCTGCTATGTTTGAGCCCATTGTTGCAGCCACTGTGTCAATTCATCTCGTTGAAGGTCCTCCTCTTTTTCGCTGACCCTCTACTTTACCAAGCATGTTGTTCTTCTCCAGGGACTGGTCCCTCCTGATAACACGTCCAAAGTATGTGAGACGAAATCTCGCCATCTTCCCTTCTAAGGAGCACTATGGCTGTACTTCTTCCAAGGCAAATTTGTTTGTTCTTCTGGCAGTCCATGGTATATTCAATATTCTTCACCAACACCATCATTCAAAGGCATCAATTCTTCTTCAGAATCATTTAGTAGCACTTATATGTTGCTTAGTCTTGGATCCCTACAATAAATTGTTTGACAAAATCAACTCATAAAATTTGTTCCGATATTGCTGATGTTGTTAGTTGCCATCGAGTTGGCTCTGACTCGTGATGGCCTCGTGTAGAGCAGAATGAAGCGTTGCCCGGTCCTGCGCCATCTTCATGATTGTCGGTATGTTCGAGGCCATTGTTGTGGTCATGTGTCAATTTGTGTCATGGAGGGTTTCCCTATTTCCACTGAGCCCTTACTTGGCCAAACAGGGTGTCCTTTTTCAGAAATTAGTCTTTCCTGATGACGTGTCCAAAGTAAGCAAGCCAAAGTCTCACCATCCTTGATTCTAAGGAGCGTTCTGGTTCTATTTCTTCTAAAACTGATTTGTTGGTTCTAAGACTGATTTGTTGGTTCTAAGATTGATTTGTTCGTTCTTCTGGCGATCCATGTCGGTGCACGATCGGGCTCTTCGTTGCCTATTAGCATGGTTACAATTGACTCTGGCACCTTACTTTTCTAGGCCAGGAAGAGGATGAATGGATCTACAGACAGATGAATATGGGGAAGGGGGGCACGTTCATCTAGTTAGAAATTAAAGTTTACCATTAACCAAAGGTATCATTGGTATTCATGCTATGTTGTTTAACAGGTAGCACCTGGGTAGCTGAATCCAACAAGGAACAGTTTGTCCTGAATTCCAGGAAGTCAGATATGGAGGGGGAGGAGGGTATGTGATGTTTACGGGGGTTGCAAGTCCTAAGTACTGGTAATTGGATGTTTGGGGGATGTGCTCACTCAAACAACTCCACATCCCTCCCCGTGGATAGGATGCAGTTGGCCTCCTGTCTGGCACTCGACCTTACTTTCGCACTGGCATGCTCACGGTCAGTTGACACCACTAGGAGTTTTGTGCTCAGACAGCAGAGTTCAGGGGTTTTGCTGTGGCTCCGGGAAAAATAGCACTTCCTGTGCTTGGGCTCCAAGCGCTGCCCGAGTCTGACTCATGTACAACAGAACAAAGTGTTGCCTGGTCCTAGGTCATCCTCATGATCATTGGCACGTTTGAGTCCATCTTCACGGCTGCTGTGCTAATCCATCTCACCAAGGGTCTCCCTCACACTTGTTGGCCCTCTACTTGACCAAACAGGACGCCCTCCTCCAGCAACTGGTCTTTCCTGAAGATGTGTCCAAGGCAAGGAAGTCAGACAATGTTCTGTGGTGATCCGTAAGATTTTCACCGGCTGATTTCTGGAAGTAAATCACCAGGCCCTTCTTCCTAGTCTGGAATCTCTGCTGAAACTTGTCCACCATGGGTGACTCTGCTGATATTTGAAACACAGTGACATGCAAGCCACCACAGTAGGACAAACTGATAGACGAGGGGTGGATTGGTTATTTAGGGGCTCCTTTTCTGTAGGCTGTGTGTTTCTTTTTTGTTATTGTTTAGGTTTTGTGTGTGCGTGTGCTTGAGATGAAGGTTTACAGAGCAAATTAGCTTCTCGTTAAATAATTACCACACGTTTTGTGACACTGGTTTAGGCTATGTGTTTCTAACGAGAAGCTGTGATAACAAAGCTGCATCTTTTCTTTCAGGTGAGTCTCAACAAACTGGCTCATGAAGGACAGACAGGAACACGCCGGCCCCCACTGAGACAAAAATGGCACCACCTTCCGGGCACTGTCTCCTGCTGGTCAGCACCCTGGGCGTCCTGGCACTCGGCAGCTTCACAAAAGGTCAGAAGAACAGCACTCTGATCTTCACAAAGGAAAACACCATTCGGAACTGCAGTTGCTCTGCAGACATCCGAGACTGTGACTACAGCTTGGCCAACCTGGTGTGCAGCTGTGAAACCGTCCTGCCCCTCTCGGTGCAGCAGCCCAGCTACCACGGCCATCTCACCATCTGGTTCACCGACACGTCTGCACTGGGCCTCCTGCTGAACTTCACCCTGGTCCAGGACCTAAAGCTTTCTCTGTGCAGTACAAACACTCTCCCCCCTGAATACCTGGCTATTTGGGGTCTGAAGAGGCTTCGCATCAACGCGGAGGCCAAGCATCCATTAGCAGAGCAGAGCTTACTCATCCACAATGGAGACAGCGAATCCAAAGAGAAGCCCGTGTCGTTGCACAAAGACTGGCCGGCGTGTATGTATATCTCATTCTTAGATATGGCTCTTTTCAACAGGGAATCGTCCCTAAAGTCATACAGTATTGCAAACATTGCCAGTGTCACCAACAACTTTCCCTACTTTCCTTACTTGAAAACCGTCCCAATTCTAAGCAACAAAAGCTATGTTGTCACCTTCATTTACTAACACTGTGACTATGGTCGACCACTGGGAACTTGGCCAACTATGGACAATTCGAACAAGGAATCTGGGAATAAGGTCATGAGATAGGTACCTCTGCCCACAACTCTACCCGCCTTATACCCCGAGTCTTATTCATCTAGTGCTGCTGTAACAGAAATACCACACGTGGATGGCTTCAACAAAGAAAAATTTATTCTCTCACAGTCTAGGAGGCTAGAAGTCCAATTTCAGGGTGCCAGTTCCAGGAGAAGGCTTTCTCTCTCTGTCAGTTCTGGGAGAAGGTCCTTGTCATCAACCCTCCCCTGGCCTAGGAGCTTCTCTGTGCAGGGACCTCAGGTCCAAAGGATGCACTCTGCACCTGGCACTACTTTCTTAGTAGTATAAGGCCCCTCTCCTCTCTGCTCACTTCTCTCTTTTATATCTCAAAAGAGACTGACTCAAGATACAACTTTATCCTATAGATTGAGTCCTGCCTCAGTAACGTAACTGCCTCTAATCCTTCCTCATTAACATCATAGAGGTAGGATTTACAACACACAGGAAAATCACATCAGATGACAAAACAGTAGACCGTCACACAGTACTGGGAATCATGGTCTCGCCAAGTTGACACACAACTTGGAGGGACACAATTCAATCCATGACAGCCCCGTTCACAAAAGAGCTACCTATACAAATAAGCAGCCCTCTCTACACTGCTCTGCGCCCAACCACAGAAGCTATTTTGAAAAACAAAATTCAGAGAAACCACAAAACCAAGCGGACTCAGTCCAGAAACACGTACAGAGCGCCAGGTGGGGGCTAGGTCTTCGCAGCTGGGAGGCTGTGGGGAAATGTCAGAGCAGGAGCGGAGGAAGCAACGCACGCGGGGAACCACTCCCAGAGCTAAACGTGGGGGCCGAGCCCCGAGAAAGGCATGGGTCCGCTCCCCAGAGGGGTCTTCCTTGAAGGCACTGCCTTCCCTGTTTTCCCGCTTCCTTTTGCTCCATTGCCTGGAGAGCTCTCCTAAGCAGAGAGTGACAAATTCCAGCAGTATAGGGACTCCGAGCTCAACAAAATGATCAGGTTCTCTTAGACTCATGTCCTCCTAATACCTTGCCAAGAACAGAAGCCCTAGAGAAATAAGAGTTTTAAGAGTGTGTTTGTTGAGTATGATTATGTGTGTATGGGTAGGGGGTTGGGAGACTGAGGCTTGAAGCCTGAAGGCAGGACAGGCATCGATAGGGTAGGACCCTAGGACCAAATGAGGGCACAACACAGAAACGAAAATTGGAGGACACAAAAAAATAATTGCAAATATCTCAAAATTTTGCTTAGTGCAAGGTCTAAACACAGGGAAATTTCCTTCTCTTCTAGCCCCTCTCTTCCATGCCCTTCTCTTTCTTTGCTTTCCTGTCTTCCTCCCCACTGTACCATGTCCTCTATTTCTCCTCTCACTCCTTCATCCCCCTCCTCCTCTCTTCCTCTTGCTCCAGAAATCAAAACTTAGACTGACATCATTAGAACTATATTCAACAACCAAAAAACCCAAACCCATTGCCATCAAGCCAATTCCAACTCATAGCAACTATAGGACAGGGTAGAACTGCCCCATACGGTTTCCAAGGAGGGGCTGGTGGATTCGAACTGCCAGCCTTTTCAGTTAGCAGCCAAGTTCTTAACCACTGCGCCACCAGGGCTTCTGTTTAAAGACCAAAAAAAAAAACCCAAACCCATTGCCATCGAGTCGATTCTGACTCATAACAACAGTAGGGGCTAAACAGACTTTTCTGGGCTAGTCTGGGAATCTAGTCAGCATTTATAACATTATTCTTATGGGTAAAAATGCACAAATTGCTAATCAGTAATTAACAAAAGAACTTTTAAAGCTCAGTCCATTTGGAAGTTTAAGATGATACGTGTTAAATGATATGTGGTTAACACAAAATGGTTTTATGTGTACCGATAAAAGGAACCAAAGCAACATAATTTTTAAAAAATTAGATTGACTTATTATTGAACAAAGAGAATTTTGCTTTACAGGAAGTCAACTTACCACTAAGGTGGCATCTAAAGAATACATGATAACCGTGGTACAAATGTCTAAACTAGGGTGCCACGAAGTTGAAACATCATTGTACCTTCATGAAACCATGACGATAAGAAATAATTTTATTATGAAATGACAAGATGTCCTAGGGTTGATGACTTTAGGTCACGTTCACCATATTTTCTCTCTCGCCTTTAACACAAACCCAAAGCCAAACCAGTTGCCATTGAATGGACTCCAGCTCATGGCGACCCCATGTGTATCTGAGTAGAACTGCGCTACACAGAGTTTTCATAGCTATGACCTTTCCGGAACAGATTGCCAGGCCATTCTTCTGAGGTACCTCTGGGTGGGTTCAAACTGCTAACCTTTCAGTTCGTAGCCAAGTGCTTAACCATTTGCACCACCCAAGGACTGCTATCCTTAACACGGGGTAACTAAAATAACACGGAATCTCAATCTTTGCTTAATTGGCGGGGGGTTTGACCATTCAGACAAATTACATGAATCCATAAAGTCAGTATTTAAATTAGGCCAAAACTTAAAAAAAATCCAAGTATGAATTTTAATAGAAAAATGTAATGACCTCATTACTGACATTGTACTTCAGAGGTAAGATTTAAAGTGAGAGAAAAAGGCAAAGCAAGAAAAGGTGGTGGAGAAAGGAAGGCAAAAAGGAAATAAGTGGAAAGATTAATAATAAATACATTGACTTCTGTAGTACTGAAAATGGAAACCCTGGTGGCATAGTGGTTAAGTGCTACGGCTGCTAAGCAAAAGGTTGGCAGTTTGAATCCCCCAGGCACTCCTTGGAAACTCTATGGGGCAGTTCTACTCTGCCCTATAGGGTCACTATGAGCCAGAATCGACTCGATGGCAATGGGTTTGGCTTTTTTGTTTTCAGTACTGAAAATGGATCCCTGGTGGCGCAGTGGTTATGAGCTCGGCTGCTAACCAAAAGGCCAGCAGTTCGAATCCACCAGCCACTCCTTGGAAGCCCTATGGGGCAGTTCTACTCCATCCTACGGGGTCGCTGTGAGTCGGGATTGACTTGATGGCAATGGGTTTTGTTTGTTTGGTTTTTGGTTTAGTACTGAAAATGTAACAAATTGAATTGTAATCGATTTTTATGAATAAAATGTGAAATTAAATGATCTTAGAAATTATGTGTCTCCTATAAATATCTTGCATTTGGTAGGTTTTAATAGTTCTAAAGCCCTTTCACATATGCTTCAAGTGATTCTTACGAGCAATAATCATAGGTCAATGGGATTTAAATCAACAGAAGAGAGACGCTAATTTAGTTAAAAACCTAGCCTGAGGTTTCCAGATTTCTGGACTGAAAATGTGGTTCCGGTTGTGCTGTTGTGGGGTAAACAGGTAACAGAGAAAATCCACAGCACAAATATGGGGATAAATGGCATCTGGCTCTTAGCTGAAGGGTTGGGACGATAGGGAGTGGTGAGGGTTGTAGTAAACTCCGAGTGCGCACCCCACCTGAAAGCGTCTCCTCTTCCTCTGACAGAAAGAAATGCAGGAGCTGAGTCACGACAGCAAGTTTAGAGGGTCACTTGCACTACTGAAATGGCCGACTTCCTCACTTGCCAGAACCACAGGTGGAAATGTTAGGGCTTGGCATCCATCTTGCATCGGGAGCCCACTCTTCAACATCAGGAGTTAACAGTCCGGAAAGCCCCTATGGTGGATGAAGGTGGGGTTGAGGAATTGAACACCTGTGAGGAAAAATGAGTTAGGGGTAAAACTCCTGAGCGGATCTCTGAAAGCCCCCTGAAAAGACAGAAGAAACAAAAGACTGAAGAAAGAAAGGAGATATTAATAACATTTTACACAAATTAAATTAGTAAAAATGGGATTTGGACAGTCAATTTCCATTTCCCAGACTTGCTCACTGATCATTTCAGGATCTCCGTTTGCCCAGAATTTACGGGAGGACGTTTGTAAATCTGATTTGATTTCTTACAGGAAAAGCAATGTGAAGGGGTCTTTTGGTTTTATGCTGAGCCTGTTCTCTATTCTGATTTTTAATGCATTTTAAATTTAACGTGAACCCAGTCACAGCTCAGACTGACATACAAGTCATGTGTACCCAATCTAAGTTCTAGAGAAGCAGTAAGGGTGAGCTGGCTCTGCAGAGCAGACAGCGTATCATGAAGCCTCACCAATTTCACAATAACACACAGAGAAACAGCTAAAGCAGTAGGGATCACTTAGAAACAGATTCTAGGGTTTAAAAAAAGATTAGTATATGGTAAGCATAAAATCACAAACCTGTGGAAAGAAGGAAAGTAATTCAATAGATTGTGCTGGGGAAAAAAAGTAGGAGGACATGCAGTAAAGTATTAACAGTATCGTATCTGGGTAACGGGATTAGAAGCGATTTTTATTTTCCTCTTCTTGAGTAGCTGAGTTTTCTAAATTTTCAGAAGTGAACACACGGTGCTTGCTTCAGCAGCACATATGCTAAAACTGGAACGATGCAGAGAAGATCAATCAGCATGGCCCCTGCAAAAGCATGACATGCAAATTCGTGAAGCATTCCATATTTTTAGGGGGAGTGCAACCAATGTCACGTAACGATATGTGTATAAATTTTTGCATGAGAAATTGACTTGAGCTGTAAACTTTCACCTAAAGCACAATAAAAAATAAATAAATAAATAAACCCGCCGACACTATTCTTTTTGTAACAGGAAAAACCCAATAAGAGGATTTTCACATAAATAAACAAGGTGCTGGAACTGCCCACTACTTAAAGTTACAGCCTCACCTCATAACACACATCATAACGTTGAGTTAGATAACTTTAAAATGAAACTATAGAACAACTTAAACATTCGGGAGACAAAAAGAAAAAGCCTGACAATCTAACACAAAAACAGGAAAGGAGAATGAACACTCAATTCACCTGGGACAAAACCCAAACAGCCAATAACAAAATTAAAAAATTACCTCT